AACAATGGCTCGAGAAAAATAAAAATGAGGAGTAAGGTTCAGGTTTGAGGGGTTGTCAAGGCATAAAGCGCTGTTCTGTTGATCACTAGGCATTTCATGACTGTTTTAATTGCTCTTTGTCTGTTTGTCAGCCTTTGAGCGATTGTTGATGTTCATTAAGGACGATTAAGTTCGATTAAGATATGTTTATAAGCAATGACTTATTCAGGGGAACACTTTAATGTCTTCCCTGAATATGACAAATCTTAAGTCGCCCTATAGTTGCTCGAACCATTTAACCATTTTAATCGATAAAGTAACATCCAAACAAGAAAATCTGCACCCAAAACAGGACAATCTGCACCCAAAACCCTTACCATGTACCACAAATCACAGCACCGTCATCGCAAAAAAAAAAGAGAAAAGGTTGAAAATTAAAATAAAACGAGCAAGAAAAAGCGACTTTTTTGCCTGCCTTTAACTCAGATTGTACGATTTCTGCTTCATTTTTCATCGAATGTGTGCTGTTTGTGTAAAAATAAAGCAGCAGTGGCAGCAACAGCACCAAAATGAAAGAAACAACAATTGGACGAGAGGAGCAGCAAACAGCAAAAATAGAAGAAGTGAAAGAAAGAAGACGAAGAAAACCTTTTTGTATGTTTTCTTATCGTAATACTTTATAATTAATGTGAATGTTTGTTTCACATAAAAAAAAAAGTTTAAACAAAAACCAGACGAAAAAACGAAGAAATTCATCGACAAATGGAGCCAGTCATGACTTACTATGCCTAGTGCCTTGATAATATTTACCAAAAAATTATGATTTAAGAAGTCTCAATGGCCCTCTCGGCATTAAACTCAATTCGACTTAATATTAACTTTTTTTCTCCTCATCATCGACTTGACATCACAGAGATGCTATTTACAGCAATTTGCCCATATCATAATGCTCATCAACAAAACGATTGATGCACTTAATTAAAATTAATGACAATCGTTTCATTTATGAAATTGAATAGAGCAATTTTATGGACTGACTGATTCCAGCGATGCTTTTTTACATTAGCGAATTGGTTGGGGAAAGTGAGGTTATATTGTGTGGAGTTTGTCTGGATGTCAGGTGCTCGTTTTCTGGTTTTATCTGTGAGTTTAACATTCTGTGTCATGATATATGGCTCAGGCATTCACGATATTGGTTTGAGTGCCATTGTTAGCTTGTTTGTGTCATAAGTGTACCAAAAACTGATGATTTAGGATTAATGAGTTCTTATTTGAGGTTATACGCTTACTTGTATGCTAATGTCCACCTGAAAGATGGTATCAAGGACAACACAAAAAGGTCATCAGCATCCAAGATGCTCGACTAGAGAATCAACAATGCGTAAATTTGACCCAAGGGTAATTCCATGAGTAATGAGAACTGTGAAAAAGCACTATGCAATATTTCTCTACTTGTAAAAATTCAAATTTCCCAAAACCGTTATAATTTCTAAACGTTTTGTTGTTTATTCGAGTGAATTAGCCGCAATACCATCAAAGAGAGATGGTTCAAATATACATGATCTTTAATGTTTTGAAACTTTAGTTACTTGCTCAATTAAATCAAATAAATGTAATAAACTTACAAGTAAAATCAAGAAAATCTAATGGTTTTTGTGAATTTGAAATTTTTTCAGTGTTCTGTTTTGCAATAATCGGTCAAAAATTGACCGATTAATGCTAGTTTTTTTGATTTTTCTTCTTAATTAAAGCATTAAGGAATGCAAATTATACATAAAACAAAAGCCTGGCTAATATCTAATATGTTAAAAGTAACTTTGGAACATAGAAGTGTGTATTTAAGTAAATATTAGGAAATGTTTAGAAAACGATTTTTCGAAAACTTGACCGATTAATTTTACTTTTATTAAAAAAACAAGAATTAGACATATTTCTGATGTGAAACTCTCACATATGGAGATAAATATTGTGTTAATAAACATAATAAAGTTACAATTTGGAGTACAAAGTTCTTAGTTAAGGAAATATTTTTGAAAAATTGGAGCACTAAAATTTTTTTCACTCATGGAATTACCCCCAATCAAACATTGTCACCAACTATCGCCATCGTAACCATCATCAAGTAGTGCCAACACATCGCTATCACACAATGCGCTCAATTCATAAGCCTTTCCATTATCACACAGCCATCAACTTGCTCATTCTCTTCTGTTGTAAAAAGAAAGCAAGAAAATTAGAAATAAATTGAAACTTAAAAAAATTCTCTCTTTCCATTTCACTCACTCAACGCTCGTTTATTTTCACTTCTCGTTCGCACATTCATACAAATTGATCTTGACTCTAATATACCAAAATAAAGCAGCAAGGAGAGAGCGAGAGAGACAGAGTGAGAGAATGAAAGCAGAAATGACATGAAGATAAATGAAGATGGGAGCGATTATGACGTTGATGGACTGGAACCATTTCAATCACCATCATTAATTTTATTCCTTCATCATATGGATCATATGTACACGGGTACAATGCAATGCAATATCATATTAACGTACATACTGTGTGTATAGATGTATAAACAGACAACACTGTGCAATAACGATCAACAACAAATATTAAATGAATTCGACCCCTGCAAATGCAACTAAACTTCTTGTTTTTTTTCAGAGTGGGAAATCTGCAGATGGGAGGATGTTTTGTGGATTTGTAATGGAATATTGGGATTTGTGCGTTATATTTGGTTGACAACATTAATCTTCGTATTTATTTTAAGAATTTATTAATATTTTAATTGGTTTAGGCTTAAAAAATGGTATATATCCTGAGAATTATGATCAATAAAGTTTTTGTTGCGCTAGATTCAGTGAAACAGTTTAAAGTCTCTCTCTTAGCATCAAAAATTGATAACTTATCTAATTTTTGCAAGCTTTAAACTGAATCAGGTAAGTTCCATTATTAAAATAGCTTAATTATGTAGAGCGTGCGTCATATTCAGTGAGATAGTTTAAAGTCTCTTTCTTAGCTTTGAATATTGATAATTATTGTTGTCTGAAAAATAATATTATGTGAGTTACACCGATAAAATTGATTTTTTTAGCAAATCGTTCGTCATAATCCAGGAAATAGTTTAAAGTTTCCTCCCGAATATGCCAAAAATTCAATATTTAATTTTTTAAAAGGAACCTTTAAAGTGGAGTTCACAAAATAAAACAAAATAAATTCAAAAGGTGTCTTTAAAGCCATCTGAGACATTTTAATGTCCCCATTAGCCAGTATCTCAAGACAATAATCATTAAAGTTTACCTCCAAGTCAGATAAGTCAGCTACAAATTAGTTCCACGTATTGTCACTCCATAAATCCCAAAAACCCATCTTCAATCCCAGCTTCAAAATCCTATAAAACCATCAACATCATTCATCATTCTACAGACTCGCCCAATTCACAAATCGTTTAGAGCTCCGAAAAAACACTTTATGTTCACTGCGATGTGCTTCAAAAAAATAAAATAAAATTATTATATGTACGGAATGAGTATATATGAGCGTATTTATGGAGAACATTTATTATTGTTATCATTTTTTCATTTTTTTTTGCTTCTCTCAACCCAATCTACTTCCCTGAAAAAAAAAATAAATGGATATGAAATAAAAATTTATCGAAATAAAAACAAATTTAGAATGAAAATAAATTTTCTTCTTCGTCTTCCACAATTTTAGTTGATGTGTAAGCAAAAAATGAGAACTGGGGAAGAACAGCATGAAAATAAAAATACAAATGAGTTTTGAAAGAAAAAGAAGTCAAAAATGGAGAAAGAATTGTAAATGATGATTTTTTTCTGGAGTTAGACGTCATAATGGAGTCTTCGGCACCACTTGATGATTGAATTTTGGCAATTTGGAAGGGTTTGTGTAAAGAAATGGAGAAATTATGCAAGAAAAATTGGAATTTTATTCGAGTTTATTATGTTGGCAATTTTATGTCAGCAGTTGATGGAAGAGTTTGGACTTATTTCTATAGATTTAAAGCTAGTTACTTGAAATAAATGTTAATGGGTCATTTACATCTACTGCATGACACAATTTCCTTATGCCATATGTCCCATAAATCTCATATTCATCATTAAATGTCAACGAAACTTAACAATCAATATAATTATCACAACTGGTCCCTAGACACCTCAAACCCTTACATTTTGATCGGTATAAACTGGATATAATATCTTATCAATCTTACTTTTATGACAATCAATCAAATCTGCCACAAATACAGTTTCACAATCTCCTAACGTATTTTTTGGTTGGTATTGCCTTCTTGCAAAATAATTATTTGAGTTGTATTTGGTTGCTTTTTGACAGAGTTGATTCTTATGAAGCCTGTCGAACTACGCTCTTTTGTTTGGGACAGTCTCGCTTTTTGGAACAAAGTCCCACCTAAAATCCTTAATTTCCAGCATTTATGAATTAATTTTTCTTGAAAAATGCGTCTGTCCCACTTTTGAAGAGCTGAAATCGAGACATGCCCCGCTTTCTAAACAAAAATCGATAAAAAAAACCGATGGACAGCTTAATCTTATGTTGGTAAGTAAGGGCAACATACTTCATAATTCTAATAAGTCAAGTTGAGGAGAGTTTTAGCTTGTTATCTCCAAATATTTTAAGTAATTTGCTATCTAGGGGAGAGCTTCTCTAATAGCACAAGTCGGTTAATCTAATAGAAATCCGCTATGACTCTAGCATAGTACTGACTATGATTTTAAATTCAGCACCATGCCAGAGTCACACCGGCTTTGCTTAACCGACTTTTGCCATTCGAGTTTTTACCACATAGACTCCCTGGCTTTACCCCTGAACCTTACATTGCCTATAACCACCATTGCAAGTTGACAAAAGAAAAATGCCGTTTGGCGTGTTGCCAACTCATTTATTCAACCCTGCCTGCAATCTAACTTGATGCTATTCTAATCAAACAGTCCACTTGTGATAATTCTGTGATAAGATTAAAAATATTAATTTTTTCCTTCCAGCCATTCAGTTATTTATAAAGTTTCAATCTCAATTAATCATGTTATTAAAGTTTTTGTGCATTTTTGTACTTTTTGGCATATCCAATGCTCAAAATAGTACATTAACATGTACATACATAGAAGAGTGGGGAGAAGGATCATGGTGGGTCCGTGAAAAGCAATACTTTTGCATGCTTGACATAGATAATATTGCAGGCAGAGATGACTTTACATCCATATCAGGTGATCATCTACAAAGTTTTAATGACAGTACAGTAACAGTCGTTTATGGATCAGAAGCTCGAGAAGGAACAGCCGTGAATGTTCCATCAAGGATTTGTGAACAATTTGTGAATTTGAGTAATTTATACTTGGATGGATTACATGTAAAGTCAATTGGCGATAAGGAATTCAGCAAGTGCCTTAATATTGAGACTTTGTATTTGGGACACAATGAGATATCTGTGGTGTCTGTGGATGCATTTAAAGTTAATTCTAAGTTGAAGTTGCTTGACTTGGGAAGTAATGAGATAACTGTGCTGCATGGAGATACTTTCAAGAGTCTACAGAACCTGGAAAGCCTTTATTTGGATCACAATCCATTTACACAAATTGATGCTCAAACCTTCTTGCCATTAACAAAACTTCATAACTTATGGCTCAATTCTTGTGGATTAACAGCCCTCAATCCTTCTTGGTTTAATGGAATGGAAGAGCTTCACATCCTTTTACTCAATGACAATCACTTGACTAGATTACCATTTGAAGTATTCAGTTCATTAAGGAGTTTGCAGGTCCTGAACATCAATGACAATAAAATTGAAGCTATAACTTCAAGCTCATTTTCAGCACGCATGGATAGATTCACAGAAATCCATGCAAATGACAATAGAATCAATTTTATCGACCCAGAATTCTTCAGTATTTCCTCAACCTTACAAGCTGTTGAGTTTGAAAGGAATTTGTGTATTAACCATAAGTTTGAGGACTTCACAGTCAACCGTGATAACAATTTGGCTGAATTCTCTTCCTGCATCCAGAATTTCAATGATATCAATCGTATTAATGGACCTGGCACCCTTACATGCACATACATGGAAGGCTGGATGCGTGAATATTTCTGCATGCTTGAAATCGACAACATTCATGGACGAGATGACTTTGCAGCCATTCCTGGTGAGCATATTTTTGGATATGTTGATAATAGAACAGTTGCTGTGTATGCATCAGAAGCAAGAACAGGAACAGCTGTGAATGTGCCATCAATTATCTGTGAGCAATTTGTAAGCCTGATTGATTTATGGCTAGATGGGATGCACGTTAAATTTATTAGGGATAAAGAATTCAGCAAGTGCCTTAATCTTCAAACTTTATACTTGGGATTTAATGAAATATCGGAAGTGTCAAGGAATGCATTTAAGGAGAACAGTAAGCTGACATTGCTGGATTTGGGACATAATAAAATCACATACATCAATGGAGATACCTTCAAGACTCTGCAGAACTTAGAGAATCTTTACCTTGACAATAATTTATTCACTCAAATTGATGGACATGCTTTTGGATCTCTGCTGACTCTTCATACATTGTGGTTCAGTTCCTGTGGATTTTCATCATTAGATTCAGCCTGGTTTGATGGATTAGAGGAACTTAAAGAGCTTCATATTGATGACAATCAACTTACTGCTTTACCATTGGATATATTCAGCTCATTAAGAAGTCTGCAAGTCCTCAACTTAAATGACAATAAATTAACCACAATTGCTGCTGATTCCTTCTCAACCAGAATGGATAAATTCACAGAAATTCACGCAAATGACAACAAAATCAACTTCATTGATCCTCAATTCTTCAACATATCAAGAACATTGGAAGTTGTCGAGTTCGAAAGGAACGAATGCATTGATTTAAAATTCGAAGAGTTCTCTAAGAATCGCAATGACAATTTAGCTAAATTTGAGACTTGCTTTAAGAATTTCGGAGTTGATGAGGATGATGGAGGTGAGGGCGCTATGATTAAGCCTTTGGTGTCACTTATGGTTGGTCTAGGAGTTGTTGTATTGAGGTTGTTGTGGTAAAATAAATGTTTAAACTTGAAATTATTGAATAAAGTGATTTGGAAGCTCGTTGAGAGCAAAAAGTATGAACATTGTTGTTATAATTTAGAGAATCTATAGCATACAGGGTGGCTTAACATCCTATAGTCCCAAAAACTACCTCCACAGTCTAAAGGCACACCCCAAAAAACCCAAATTGTCTCTGCTCGAATTACAATTTTTATTATTTTTCAGAATATTCAAAAGTTTAGTCCTTCTAGTCTGCATTACAACTTATTCAAATTACAAAAGATTTCAAAAAAAAATTCCATTCAATCGACTGGTGCCGAACATTTCCATTCTAGTTAAAAAAGAGACACAAAAAGAAGTTCTAAACTAAACAAAAAGAAGATTATGAAAGAAGTACAGTAAGAGAGAGGAAAATAACAAGAATAATAAGAAGCATAAACATTTATCGTGGCAATTTAACAATAAATTTGAAAATAAATATACAAAATAACATACATACAGCAGAAGAACAGCAAGAAAAAGAAATGGAAAAAAATATATAAATATATATAAAAAAAGAGACTCGAATGGGAGAACTCGGGCAAGCATTAAATAAGCAAAAAATAAATGAGTTGGAGGAGAATTTGCGAGTTGTGGGGTGAGTGGAAGCGCTGTTGATCTAGTAAAATTGATTTGAGGATTTTTTTTGGATATTTTTGTAGTTTGTTACGCAAGTTTTTTTAGAATTTCAAAGTTTAATGCACAAATTGAGATGTTGGCTCCTATTTTTAGCTTATTTCGTCCAAAATCACAGTTTGGATGACTAAGACTACATTATTGCCTAATGCTTTACTGTTAAGCGTGTTACTCCTCCAATTTATTACTTAATCATTCAGTAAAGAACTTAAAAATTGTTAATAAAGTCAGCAGACCCCCAAAAAACTTTAATTAATAGTCGTTTAACTGATGAGTGAGTTGAAGTGGCTCGGTGGCGGAAATGTCAGCAAAGGAGTGGTTCGGATCCCACTATATACTGTAGGTCTAGGTTTGAGTGCAGTGGTTTGGCTCATCCTCACTCGTTAAACTCACATTAGCTGCGAAACGCCCTAGCGCACCTCTGGATCGCAATTGATCTGAATAGGTAATGGTTTTTTAAACTGATTATAAGCCTTTGATCACCAAGTTCTCTTGATCTGTCGTTATAGCTTTAATATAATCTGTAGATTGTGGTTTTAAGTTCTAGTAAACCTTAAATTCAAGTTATCTCAGCTAGCTGAGGTTCCCACCCACGCTAGTCACTGTCAAACTTTATGTATTTCACTGAGTCTGGTGAATTGATTTAGATATTTTTTTTTTTTTTGTTTAAAAGTTCATTTATTTATATCAAACTTAAAGTTGTGTTATAAATTTATACAAATTAATTATTGCAGAGAGAGAATAAAAAACAAATTACTTCATATTCAATTTAATTTAATTAGCATCAAAATACAATTCCAAATAGTGTTCTCTCAAACGATTTTTAATAATGCTCAATGAATGAAAAGCCTTTATCTGCTGTGGAAGATTATTGAAATCCGCAAATGCTCTAATGTAAAAATTCTGCGCTCCTTGACTAGTGCGGCACATTCTTATTGTGAAATTTCCTCGATTTCTTGTCGAATGATTATGAATATCGCTACCTAATTGTATTTCGACATTATTTTTAATTAAATTCGATGCAAATTTAAATACTTGAAGAGAGCAGTTTGTTTTACACATTACAGAGACTGGCAAAAGTCTAATGCTATACAATATCTCCTTTCCAGCAAACCAACTTTTCCTCAATACAATTCTTAGAGCTTTTCTTTGAAGAATCTATATAAGAATCTATATAAAGATCAGCTCTTGAATAGCTCTAGTTCCAAAAGTCCCGCACTTTTGAGTGGGCACTTTTGAGCGGGCACTTTTTGAGCGAGCACTTTGAGCGGGACAGTCCTGCTATTTTGAACAAATTCTCACCCAAAATCCTTAAATCCCTCTTGATTGAACCTATTTTTCTTTTAAAATGCTTGAAAATTGAGTCTGTCCCACTTTTTCAGACCTTAAATCAGGACATGTCCCACTTTTTAACCAAAAACCAACAAAAACCAATAGACAGCCAACTCAGCATCCAAAATTTTCAGATCAAACCCAAGAAAATCTGCAAAAAGTTCTTCCATCATTTCCAAATTCACAGCTAAAACCAGCACTTAAACAAGCGAAGCAAGTAAACAGCAGAAAATAAAAAAAAAAAAGAGGCAAAGTCAGCAAAAAAAAAGCAGCAATAATAATTGACAAATTAAATGCTTTGGTAAAAAAAGGCAGTGCATGAAAAAAAAAATCTTAGAAAGAATTAATATTTTATTTGTTTCGTAATTCAAGGCTTACAAAGAAGGCATTAAGACACGACAGAGAAAAAAAAGGTTAAACCCTTAGGACGAAAATGTGAGACTGAATTGGAATAAGAAAATTCTCTAAGGGCATGAGCGTACATACTTGATTGTAATTTTTTTTGTCGATTTGTCACGTTCATTAATCACGTTTTGCTAGTCAATTTAGTTCCAACATTTTTCTTACTTTTCGTTTTTTTTTTGCTCATTTCCGTGTGCGTTTGATGTTTTTTTTTGTATTCATAAATTTTTTTTCTTTTTCTTATCTTTAACGCACATTAACGCACAATTTCTTTTAGTAGTTTCGGCTAAAGTAGATGCGGATATTGAACTGAATGGATTTGATGTGTAGACTTAGCTTTACATATTGCAAACCATCTTGATAGTTTATAACTTTTTTGCTGATGTTGTAAAGGGTTTGGACTCGGCATCTGTGAGTTTTGGATCCAATTTTCAGGTTGGTTGTACTTATGAGGCCTGTTTTCTACTATTTTTAAATGGATATAGGACTTTGACTTGTTAGAATATAAAACATTGGCTTCTAAACTGCTTTGATAGTTTTTTAAAGGTTAACTTAAACCTGTTGTAAGCTTAATGTTATTTTTTTGAGCTGGGCCTATAGCTTCTGAGCTTGGCCAAGAGTTTCTTAACTGAGCCTAAAGCTTCCAAACTAAGTCTAAGCTTTTAAACTGAACCAAGAGCTATTAAACTGATCCTGTAGCTTGTAAACTGAGTTTAGCGCTTCTAAATAGAACCAGGAGCTTCTAAGCTCAAGTCTAGAGCTTCTAAACTGAGCAAAGAGCTTCTAAACTGAACCAAGAGCTATTAAACTGATCCTCTAGCTTCTAAATTGAGGTTAGAGCTTCTAAACTGAGCCTAGAGCTTCTAAACTGAGCCTTGGGCTTCAAAATTGAGCCTAGGGCTTCCAAACTGAGCCTAGAGCTTCTACACTGAGCCTAGAGCTATTAAACTGAGCCTTGAGCTTCTAAACTGAGCCTAGAGCTTTTAAATTGTGCCTGAAGCTTTTAAACTGAGCTTAGAGCTTCTGAACTTAGCCTAGAGCTTCCATACTGAACCTAGCGCTTCTAAACTTAGTATTTTGCTTCTAAACTAAGCCTAGAGCTTCTTAGCTAAAAGCTAGTGATTCTAAACTGAGTCTAGAGCTTCTTAGCTAAAAGCTAGTGATTCTAAACTGAGCCTAGAGCTTCTAAATTGCGCCTAGAGCTTCTGAACTGAGCCTAGAGCTTTTAAACTAAGCCTAGAGCCTCTAAACTGAGTCTAGAGCTTCTAAACTGAGGCTAGAGCTTCTTAACTAAAAGCTAGTGATTCTTAACTGAGTCTAGAGCTTCTAAATTAAGTCTAGAGCTTCTATACTGAGCCTGGAGCTTCTAAACTGAGATTAGAGCCCCTAAACTGGTCTTGTAGCTTCTAAACTGAGCCTGGAGCTTCCAAACTGAGATTAGAGCCCCTAAACTGGTCTTGTAGCTTCTAAACTGAGCCTAGAGCTTCTAAAATCAAGGCTGGAACTTCTAAACTGGCCCTAGAGCTTCTAAGCTCAAGGCTAGATCTTTTAAACTGAACTAAGAGTTTTTTAACTGAACCAAGAGCTTCTAAACTGAGTCTTTGGCTTTTACAGAGTTCCATTACATTCCTAAAGAATCCTTAAGATCAATATGAAAACTCACAGCTCAATACTGCTCCATCACAATCTAAAACCAATTAAATCCCATTACAATACTTCCTATCCGGTACAACAATCAATCCAGCTCCATGACAAATCAAAAAATGAGTCTCACAACCACCTAGATCAGCCATTCCATCTCGTTCTTTAATTTCCTTTTCATAAAAAAACATTTTCCATATGTCTTTTTTTGACTCACATTCACACACATTCAGATATTTTTGCCGTTTCAATTTCAATTAATCACACTGAAAAAAAAAGGAATTTAAATTCTCAACTCAACTCGAGTAAGTTAAAAAAAGAGATGTTTTTCATACATCAAATAACCATAAGAGAAATGGAAATGGAAGTAATGGGTTTCGGAGTTGTCAGCAGATGTTTTTGCTTGTGTGGCTCAGCAGTGAAATATTGATTTTTTTTGTGTTCTCACTGTTGAAAGTAAAATATAAATTAAGAATATCATATGTGCATATGACGACTGACTCCGAATGGATGTGACTTAACATAACATATTGCGAGCTCGATTGGCTTTCAAAACATTTTCGATAATTTGTATTCATTTTTTAATTTCATTCCACTCGATGATCTTGAATGGAAAAGAAATGTGTTATGCATTCGGCACTCGCTTCTTCTTTTTTTGGAGGCTTATGTATCGCTATTAATAGGTTTTAGTTCTTTTATGTTGTTTATTATGTTATGTTATGGAATATTTTACTCTCGAAAATTGTAAACAGTTTTTTTTGTGTGTAGAAATTTTTCGTTCTTTTAAAAATCATCAGAATCATAAGTTATGAGCTTAATTCTTTATTTTTAAGTTTATGCTGCCTTGAGATGTGAAATTTATGGCCATCGTTTTGGGAGAGTTTTCGTAAGAATCTCTGTTAGTCTTCAAGTTTTTAAAATTACTTCACAAATTGATTATTACTCTCGGATATTTAAAATCTTATGGAAATTGCTGTGTAATTGAGATTTCCTCTATGGGTTGGATCAATAGCTGTGAGTCTTAATTATTA